TGCCCACTGTCTCCCTTCTTATTTATCCTGGCTCTGGAACCCTTAGCAATCAGCATCCGAGCAGCCACAGACATCAAGGGAGTGGAAATAAAAGGCAGAACCTATAAATTAGGGCTCTTTGCAGATGACCTAATGGTCACAACACCAGACCCCATAAGCACAGCAACCTCCCTAATCAGAGAACTCAACACATTTGCAATGGTGTCGGGCCTACAGGTAAATTTTACAAAGTCAGAAGCTATGTGCTTCAACACCCCTCCTCACACCCAAAAAGAACTCACGAAGGTCACCAAAATAAAACTTTGCCACACCAAGTTCAGATACCTAGAGGTACAAATAACCAGAAACCTCAATAAATTGTACCTCCACAACTACAAGCCCCTGTGGCGACAAATTAACAAAGACCTAAAGAGATGGAATAACATGAATTTCACTCTCTCAGACAAAATAGCCATGATCAAAATGATCACACTCCCAAAACTAACCTACCTATTCCAAACCCTCCCAATCTGGATCCCCTCAACCCAACTTCGCAGTTGGCAGAGAAAACTACACTCTTTCATCTTCTCACATAAAAAACCAAGAATAAGCCTCAAATACCTGCACCTCCCCACCTCAGAAGGAGGATGGGGAATCCTCAACATAGAAGCATATTACAATGCCAACCAAATACGCCATATAATCCCATATATACTAGAAGATGAGACAAAACAATGGGTACACCTAGAGAGGGACACAATTGAAAATACCTGCACCACAACATACCCATTCCTCCCAAACAAACTAAAGAAAATTCCCACAACACTTAACAGGTACACACAGACCATGCTCAAAGCATGGAAAACACAAATAGGCAAACTATCCCCAACCCCATCCCCACTAATCCCCCTGGCGTACCACCCATTATTCCACCATGCAGCACAAAACCTCCAGATAAAAACCTGGCAAACCAAAGGCTTATATCGCCTAATAGACTTTTATAAAAATAACAAACCCTTGTCAACACAAGAAATACAAGACAAACTAGAAGACACCCAAATGCCCTGGTTAACACAACACCAACTACATGCCCTCTTAAACAACCCAACAGTAAAATCAGCAGCAACTAGGCCCCTGACAACCTTCGAAAACCTCCTCCTAACAACAAAGGAAACGGTAAAGGGACGGTATCCGCATATACAAAATACTACTCCAAAATCCCGCAAATCCCTAGTTGCAATCAAAAAACAATGGGAGAATGACATAGGCTATGAGATTAACCCCACTCAATGGACCAGAATGTGGTCTAAACCCCCTTTAAATCCATATCAACGAAAAGAAAAGAACTCACACTGAAACTCACCTACAGGTGGTACCTAACACCAAGGAAACTAGCGCTAATACACCCAGGAACCTCACCAAAATGCTGGAGAGGGTGCACCTCCACAGGCACATACCTCCACATGTGGTGGGAGTGTCCCAAAATCCAACTATTCTGGACAACAGCCATACAAGAAATATGTAAAATAACTAAGCAAGTAATAGACATCACCCCAGAATTGGCCCTACTAAACATCTTCCAAGACAACAATGCCCATTTACACCACAAAGAACTCATAACCCACCTACTTTCAGCAGCCAGAAACACCATAACCAGACACTGGAGAGACCTGTCAGGAGTAAACATGGACCAATGGTACCAAATAGTATGGGAAACAGCCCTACTAGAAAAATTAACTAATAAACTGAAACTGACACGGGGACAAACAGAAGAAGACGTCTTCACCCTGGTATGGCTCCCTTTATCACATACACAGCCCAACAGGACAATGACAATAATCCACCAACAGCATACAAATCAATATGGCTAACCTGATCCAAAACACCCACCCACCTCACTCACACACGAAAACAAAGATCACCACAGCCAATCACAAGCAGACAATCACACCCTAGGCCAACCCCAACCTCTCTCACCACGAAAGGAACACAAGTGAACAACACAAGCAACGCTGACACCAAACTCTACATACATTAAACATAATAGAAACACCGCCACCCGACCCCACCCCATCCATCTTCCCTCTCTCCACCCCCCTTTCTTTTTTCCTTTTTTTTCTTCTCCCCCCTAATGCCTCAACAAATGAAATGGATTTGTAAAAATGTTACATGAAAAAAAATATATATATACGAGGCAGTACACTTACTTCTGTAAAACAAGAAAATCCTTAATAAAATATTTAATAAAAACACACACACACACACACACACACACACATACACACACACACACACACACACACACACACACACACGTGTGACCCGCTTCTGTTTCCTTTGTTGTCTGCAGCCCTGCTGGGGGTTTCTCACATTTCCTCCCCACCATCTGCCTTCTTGCAAATGCTGAACAGGCTTCTCACTGACCTTTTCAGGAAGTTTAAACAGGGCCTCAGGGCAGCTCTGTGCATGCAGAATGTGGCAGCGAGTTTAAAAGCCTGGGAATGGAGGAGAGGCTGGGGAGAAGAATAAGTCATAAAGAAGCGGTTGAGTTCTCTCTCTCTCTCTCTTCTCTCCAGCTACATCTATTTAATATACATTAGTTCTATTTTTTCACCTTTGCATTCTATGCACAAGTTTCTGGAGAGCCCAGAGGTGCCGTTTAAAGGTTGCTGTTGTTTTTGGAGTGGAGGGGGGGGGGGGCAGAGATTTAGAGCACACAGTCTTATGCAAGCCTATTTAGGGGCGCCTCCTGATGACCTGTTTGTTGAGGGTTCATCCCAAACTACTTGTGCAAAGTACACTTTGCATTTAGATTGTATCTGGTCTTTAATGAGCATTCCATCTGATGCAAGGAAGAGCATTCATCCTGCAATCCTAATTTGCTTTTGGGGCATCGCTCTGTCGCTTTCCAAAGTCCTCAAAAAAATGGATTTGTTGTGTGAGGGCAACAGAGAACTTCAATCCACTTTAAAGGGGGAAACCTACGTTTCCTGGTGTGGGGGTGAATCCCTCCTGCAAAATATTGACAAGTTGCATCGCTCTCTAGGAGAGGAAGGGAGGGGAACCTGGGTCTACCAAAACCAGTTCCTCCTCCTCATCATCATCGTCTATTTATTTATACCCTGCCCATCTGGCTGGGTTTCCCTAGCCACTCTTGGCGGCTCCCAACAGAATATTAAAAACACAATAAAACATCAAACATTAAAGACTTCCCTAAACAGGGCTGCCTTCAGATGTCTTCTAAAAGTCAGATAGTTGCTTATTTCCTTGACATCTGCTGGGAGAGCGTTCCACAGGGTGGGTGCCACAACCGAGAAGGCCTTCTGCCTGCTTCCCTGTAACCTTGCAGTGAGGGAACCGCCAGAAGGCCCTTGGAGCTGGACCTCGGTGTCCGGGCAGAACGGTGGGGGTGGAGACGCTCCTTCAGGTATACTGGACAGAGGCCGTTTAGGGCTTTAAAGGTCAGCACCAACACTTTGAATTGTGCCCGGAAACGTACTGGGAGCCAATGCAGGTCTTTCAGGACCGGTGTTATATGGTCTCCATGGCCACTCCCTGTTCCAATGGGTCTTCCCCATCCAGTACCTGATGGATTGGGCTACAGCAGAGGATGAGAAGAGAAGCAGAGTCACACCACCAGCTCTGCTGTGAAGCTGGTTCTATTTATCAGGTTTGCCCTTCAGAATAGTCACCTAGCAGAAGCCATTCCATCAAGGTTGCAGTTGAGGGAGACTAAAAGTTAAGCTGGGCCACTCTATCTTCTCAGCTGAGATCCACAACTTTTGGCTCTCCTCCAATGTTTCCATTCCAGCTGGCCATCATAAGAGCGTCCTTAGTTTCTCACTTGCCCTGAATGTTAGAATAAACGTTCTTCCAAAATGCCTGATCCTTCGATGTCTTTACTGGCTCTGGAATTCTTGTGTTAGGAATAATACCTCCCTGCCAAAAGAACCTTATCACAGGCTACTTTTTAGGGGCCCGGCAAAAACGCTTCTTTTCAGCCAGGCTTTTGACCTGGATAGTTTTAGATACTGTGGCCTCCTTTAGCGGGTAGGATGTGTTAGATCGCCTTTTATGTTTGCGAATGTTTTCAGCTCTTACCTAGTTTTATATTGGTTTTCATGTTTTGATTATATTGCAAGTTGCTTTGAGTTTACTTTTTTAAAAAGAAGGTGGTTAATAAGAGCAAATAATAATAATAATAATAATAATAATAATAATATAGATCAGGGATTTCCAACTGGTCTACTGCGATCAACAGGTCGATCCCCAGTTGATAGCAGTTGATCACAGGCTCATTTTTCTCCATGGGGGAAAAGGAGTATCTGGCCCTGCCCCCTTGCTTTGTCCTTTATTTGTGCACAATTTCAAGAACGGAAGACACAGCCACCGCTAGCGGGATTAATATTTGTGTAGCAATTTAGGGTGCCCCCCCCAAAGCAGCAGAACTATTTGTCTTGCCCCCCTAAGAAAAGCTCAGCAACTTTGCCTTGCCCCCCACCCCCTCAAAAGGGTAGTTCACTGCTAGTTCCCCCCCACCCCCAGAGTAGATCACAGTCTCTTGGGAGCTAGACGTCCCTGGGATAGATCATTCCAACTCCACCCAACCTTCTTCCGGCCCCCATTGTAATCTGCACGATCACTGCCTGTCCTTTTCTATCTGTTTGGTTAATCTGTTAGGAATGTTTTCAAGTGCATACAATCTTACATCTCTCCCTGATTGCTTTACAAATTGCCACATCCGAGATTTTGTCACCCTATTTGGCCATGTGATTTGCCTATGACCAGCCAAGGCCTCCTTTAGCCTCTTTATCTCTCTGTCTCTCTATTGCGCGACAGCCATCCAGCTGATTCCCACTCAGTTCCTCGCTTGCCCCTCATGAGAGATGGGTGAGCTTAATCATTTTTGTACCTTAAAGCACTCGTAGCCCACTGTGAATTAGAAGCCTCCAAGGTGACAAAATAAAATAACAAAACAAACCACTCAATATAAATTTTAGCAGAATCACAGAATTGGTAAGTTGGAAGGGACCATCATCATCGACTTTTATTGCTCTAGCCATAGGCCATGGCATCATTCAGAAAAACAACAAAAGGAAAAACAGCAGTAACCATAAAAATCACCAGGCACCACACACGCAATATAAACCACGGTCAAAACTACTAAGATTGTTTGTTGCATAAAATAGAATAGCAGAAGGTTCTCTAGTAAAATGTGCCAAATTAAATATCCGAATCCCCTTTGCAGTTGACCACTATTTTATCTAGTTCTTTCCTCCTGATCTTCTTGGCTGCCAACGCATAGATAGTGCGTACCCTGGAAATGATCTCTTTCAGCTTCTGCCTTCTGGAAGAAGGTACAGGGTTATAAAGACTAGGACTAGCCGCCTGAGAAACAGTTTCTATCCAAATGTGATTTTGGTTTTAAACGCAGTGTAAGGTAGTCTCTATGGGAGTATATTGTATTTAATTATGGGGTATCGGAGTTTTTAGGGGGCTAACCAGGCTGGGATAGCTGGGATAGAAGGCTTGTTGGTTTTTGAATGTCTGATGTAGATTTTCTCGATTTTGTTGTTCTGTATGGGACAATGGGGTTGCGGGTGGCGCTGTGGGTTAAACCACAGAGCCTAGGACTTGCCGATCGAAGGTTGGAGGTTCGAATCCCCGCGACGGGGTGAGCTCCCGTTGCTCGGTCCCTGCTCCTGCCAATCTAGCAGTTCAAAAGCACGTCAAAGTGCAAGTAGATCAATAGGTACCACTCTGGCGGGAAGGTGAACGGCGTTTCTGTGCGCTGCTCTGGTTCGCCAGAAGCGGCTTAGTCATGCTGGCCACATGACCTGGAAGCTGTATGCCGGTTCCCTCGGCCAATAAAGCGAGATGAGCACCACAACCCCAGAGTCGGCCACGACTGGACCTAATGGTCAGGGGTCCCTTTACCTTTACCTTACTCAATTTTAGGGAAGGGACCAGGAGGATAACCTAGTCCAACACAATAATCTTTTGCCCAACGTTGGGCTCGAACCCGTGACCCTGAGATTAAGATGGATACCTTAGCCGAGAGTCCTGCATTGCAGGGGGGTTGGACTAGATGATCCTTGGGGTCCCTTCCAACTCTACAGTTCTCGGATTCTATGCTCTACCGACTGAGCTATGAGCAGCCACATTAATCAACATGGCAGAAACAATGGGGGGGAGAGGGGGCCTACTAAAAATATTTCAGGATACTACGAAGAAACTGCCAAAGTTTTAGGTTGCACAGTGAAACGAAAGTATTTTGTTCTGGTTATGCAGCACCTTCACAAGTGGTTGTTGGTTTCATTAGGGATAAGAAGTTGCCTTATACTGATCCACCAAGCTCAGCGTGGCCTACACTGGCCAGCAGGGTTTCAGGCAGGGGTATTCCCCGGCTGTTCCTTCTAGGTCAGGCATTGACCCTGGTGACATTTGCGTGACCAGGCGAATTGGTTTTATGTAAGACATTCTAGGAACCTTATCGGCTGAAAATCAGTGTAAAAATGTCTTAGATACTTGAGGAAGACACAGAGCTCAGAGGCAGGGCACATACAGTACAGTGGTACCTCGGGTTACAGACGCTTCAGGTTACAGACACTTCAGGTTACAGACTCCGCCAACCCAGAAATAGTACCTCAGGTTATGAACTTTACCTCAGCATGAGAACAGAAATCGTGCGGCGGCAGATTCTTGCCCGTGGGTGATTGTGCCCAAATATAGACCTCTCCTGTCCTTCACTGCAAGATTCCTTAATGGTCACCATAATGGTGAGGGAATGAATCACCAAGCTATATAGGATGAGAGCTAGTCACCATGTAGGGAGAGAATTACACAAGAGCAGTCAGCAAGGGGGGGGGATCTGAACAGAGTCACCCCCCTTGCGATGTGGGTGGGCGGGGTCTTTCTCCAACCAGTCACATGAGATGAAGGTGACTCAGGAGGACATAAGAAAAGTTCTTCCACCAGAGGTGTGGAAGTGCTGGAACCACCTCAGAAGCAAAAAACCAAGTTATTTTTATTGTGTGTCATGCCTCAAGGGCCAAACATCCCTTTTTGTCTAAGCACGCTCTTCCCCCACCCAGACAGAGACCAACTTCAAAGCTTCAGCCTCTCGATCACCATCCAGATGAACTCACCCCTCCCTCACCATCAGAGACAGGGCCCTATAGCCAGACTTTCTCACTAGGTGGGGCTTCAAAGGAAGAAACGAATGGAAAACCAGCCATCTCCTCACTGCCAATGCAAACCTCTAGGCGACGGCCCCCAAGTACCTATATAATTTTAGCCTGTGATTCATTTGCACCAGAAATGTGTATGTTGTGCAGCGGCAATTCCTTTGAGGGCCTCTCTTTTAGTGTGTGTGTGGAGGGGGGATATTTCGCGTCACGCCTATTCGGCCTTACTAATTTTTTCTGCGAAAGTTCCCCATTGCTACCACGTTGTTGCTGCAGCACAATGAAAACAGGAGAAAAATAAACCACTCGTGAAAAGGTTTTCGTTCCTGAGAATGAAGCAGGGCGACTGCCTCCAGAGTCCATAGCTGTCAACTTTTCCCTTTTCTTGCGAGGAATCCTATTCAGAATAAGGGAATTTCCCTTTAGAAGAAGAAGAGTTTGGATTTGATATCCCGCTTTATCACTACCCGAAGGAGTCTCAAAGCGGCTAACAATCTCCTTTCCCTTCCTCCCCCACAACAAACACTCTGTGAGGTGAGTGGGGCTGAGAGACTTCAAAGAAGTGTGACTAGCCCAAGGTCACCCAGCAGCTGCATGTGGAGGAGCAGGGAAGCGAACCCGGTTCACCAGATTACAAATCTACTGCTCTTAACCACTACACCACACTGGGAAACGTTGATAGCTATGTTCCAGACATCTGCGGGTGCAAAGGGTATTTAACGTGGAATCCTGTATCACTGTCCCAATAGCATCGTGAGCACAATAAAAAGGACATCTCAGTGGGTCCTAAGTCCAGAAGCTTTCTTCTCCTTCTAAGCTGGAACGTGTGCAAAGGAGGGCAACTAAGATGATCAAGGGTCTGGAAACTAAGCCTTAAGAGAAATGGTTGAGGGAGTTGGGTATGTTTAGCCTGGGAAAGAGGAGACGGAGAGGAGATGTGCCATTTTCAAATATCTTGAGGGCCATCTTCAAATACAGGTGAAACTTGAAAAATTAGGATATCGTGGAAAAGTTCCTTTATTTCAGTTAAACAACTTGAAAGGTGAAACTAATACAGTGGTACCTTGGGTTACATACGCTTCAGGTTACATACGCTTCAGGTTACAGACTCCGCTAACCCAGAAATATTACCTCAGGTTAAGAACTTTGCTTCAGGATAAGAACAGAAATTGGGCGGCGGCGGCGCTGCAGCAGCAGGAGGCCCCATTAGCCAAAGTGGTGCTTCAGGTTAAGAACAGTTTCAGGTTAGGAACAGACCTCCGGAATGAATTAAGTACTTAACCCGAGGTACCACTGTATATGAGATCGACTCATGACATGCAAAGCGAGATCTGCTTCTACTTCTCAGAGGTCCAATCTTGCTCCATTTGCAATCCTTGTTTTAATGATTTCATTGAATATTCTCATTTTCTGAGATGGTTCATTTGGGGTTTTCATCAGCTGTACGCCATGATCATCACAATGGTAACAAAGAAAGGCTTGACATATCTCGCTTGGCATGTCATGAGTCTATCTCATATATTAGTTTCACCTTTCAAGTTGAATGACTGAAATCAATGAACTTTTCCACGATATTCTAATTTTTCGAGTTTCACCTGTATAAGAAATAAAGGCTTGACATATCTCGCTTTGCATGTCATGAATCTATCTCATATATTAGTTTCACCTTTCAAGTTGAATTACTCTCCTGTCTCCCAAACGCCTGATTTCCTCAGCCTATTCTGCAACAAACTTTCCCATGTCCTGTCTGTGTGCACTGTGTGAGATTTTCTACCTACCCAACCCAACCCAACCCAACCTTCCATTTCCCTTGCAGCAGCCGTGCTGAAAGCTAACTTTCCATGACTGATTCATCCCCACCAAGAGTCAGAATTCACACAAACCTTCTGTGACATCACAGCTGCTCAGCCAATGGCTAATGCGGCTTTGTAGAAAGATATATTTTTAGTTCTGTCAGTCATTCTTTCATGTTGCAAGGGAAGTGGCGTGCTGTGTGTGTGTGTGTGAGATAAACAGAAATAGTTATTAGCACGTTTGATGCGCAGAACTATGGGAATAGCACACTACCAACGGCCCAACGAGATCTCTCAACCTTCAGGTCTTCTGGCGTCTCCTTCCACTCTCCTGCCTCCCCCTTGTATGAATCAGTAACACTCCATTAGTCTGCAAAGAGGATTTTGAATCAAGTTACTTATTATCAGTCCCTGGGTTCCAATTTCCTTTTTCCGCAGCCGCGTGGGGGGTGTCTGAACATTAAGAGTCCTGCTGGGTGATTGCTAATTCTGAGCTCCATTTGAAGCCAGAGGGAGCGAGACTGGGACCTCTTAAAACTAATATACTTCATAATGACGCATTGTTTTTTCAGATTGAGGCCCTGGGAAAAACAGTGCCGAAGGCAGAGAAAGATTACCGTTATTGCGACTCCCAAGTGATAAGTACCGGATGCAAGAATTTCTTATTTAATGACACCCTGCTCCTATCCAAAATGCCTTCATACCTGACTGAGTCTTCTCTAGGGGAATAATTCTTTTTCAGGAAGCGTAATTCCGCCTCTGGTCCTCACCACCATAGGCGGGAAGTTCTCACGGTGAAGTTACGGCAAACTATCTTACAAAGCCCTGGTGGGACGGCGGGATTGTTCAAGCAGTCCTCACAGAACAGTCTAGAGAGCAGGATGGCCCCTTAGGACATTAACAACAACAACAACAACAATTTATTATTCGTACCCTGCCCATCTGGCTGGGTTTCCCCAGCCACTCTGGGCGGCTTCCAACAAAGATTAAAAATACATTAAAATGTCACACATTAAAAACTTCCCTGAACAAGGCTGCCTTCAGATGTCTTCTAAATGTTAGGTAGTTGTTTATCTCTTTGACATCTGGTGGGAAGGCGTTCCACAGGGCGGGTGCCACTACCAAGAAGGCCCTCTGCCTGGTTCAGCGCTGGACCTCAGTGTCCCGGCAGAACGATGGGGGTGGAGACGCTCCTTCAGGTATACAGGACAGAGGCCGTTTAGGGCTTTAAAGGTCAGCACCAACACTTTGAATTGTGCTCGGAAACGTACTGGGAGCCAATGTAGGTCTTTCAAGACTGGTGTTATGTGGTCCTCGGCAGCCGCTCCCAGTCACCAGTCTAGCTGCCGCATTCTGGATTAGTTGTAGTTTCCAGGTCACCTTCAAAGGTAGCCCCACGTAGAGCGCATTGCAGTAGTCCAAGCGGGAGATAACTAGAGCATGCACCACTCTAGCGAGACAGTCCGCGGGCAGGTAGGGTCTCAGTCTGCGTACCAGGTGGAGCTGGTAGACAGCTGTCCTGGATACAGAATTGACCTGCGCCTCCATGGGCAGCTGTGAGTCCAAAATGACTCGCAGGATGTGCACCTGGTCCTTCAGGGGCACAGTTACCCCACTGAGGACCAGGGAATCCTCCACACCAGCCCGCCCCCTGTACCCCAAAAACAGTACTTCTGTCTTGTCTGAATCCATTAGCCCCCATCCATCCTCCAAACGCCTCCAGACGTTCACCGCCTTCACTGGTTTTGATTTGAAAGAGAGGTAGAGCTGGGTATCATCTGCATATTGATGAACATAGGCTAGCCTCCCCCCAAACTGCTGCCCTCCAGATGGGAGCCAGTGTGACACAGGGTTTAGAGTGTCGGACTAGGACTTGGAGGACGAGGGTTCAAATCCCCACTTGGTGATGGTGCTCACCGGGTGACCTTGGGCCGGTCACTGCCCCTCAGTCAAACCTACCTTCACAAGGTTGTTGTGCAGATTAAATAAGGCAGAGGAGGACCTTTTAAGCTCCCTTAGAGGAACATGACCTTGCCAACTAAGGTCCATATAGTTAAAGCTATGGTTTTCCCAGTAGTGATGTATGGAAGTGAGAGCTGGACCATAAAGAAGGCTGATCGCCGAAGAATTGATGCTTTTGAATTATGGTGTTGGAGGAGACTCTTGCGAGTCCCATGG